CAAAAAGTATCTTCAGAAACTTAAGCTGTTTGTGTAAATGTGTGTGTGTGTGTGTGCGTGCGTGCGTGCGTGCGTGCGTGCATGTGTGTGTGCCTGCACAAGTGTGTGAATGCATTTGTGTGTGTGTGTGTGTGTGTGTGTGTGTGTGTGTGCGTGCGTGCGTGCGTGCGTGCGTGCGTGCATGCATGCGAAGTTTACATTCCTACTAACTGCTGATGTCGGCCATAGAGGTAAACGAAAAGTGTGCAAGTCAACTGTAATTGAAAAGTCTCTGACTTTGTAGCAATAAGAAAAATGTATCATGTCTCACTGGATGGTTTAAAAGGCAGTAGTATCTGATAATACCAAGAACCTCTGGTGATCGTGTTGTTGGCTTCTGCTATTACATACCATGTTAATCCTAATCTGGTGGCATTTGTTTGGCCACTATTTTTTTTACACGATAATAAAATGTATAGGATTCTACAGGCCACCGAGAAGGTATGGTGTATAGGGAAATGAAGTATATAGCTGTAACTGTTGTTTGTAGTGTTACTGTGTATTTTTTCCTTCATACAAATGCGAACCATTTATGCAAAATTAGACCATGTTATAACAATACACAAGTGAATCATATTTGTTGTACGTGGATAAAGTCACTGACGAGAATTCGCGTCTTATTGGCTCAATGGTAAAACGTGCTTTAGGTAAAATTGTGTCCGATGTTACGGTAGAACGCGGCGCATTTGCTTGCACTTGACATGAACACTTTTCACTGTCACTAACGAATCGCTACTTCAGGAGTGTAGGATGTTACAATTTGAATGTGAAGGATGAGTAGCGATGATAATATAGAGTATCTCGATATATGTATCAAAGTACTGTAGTGAGAAGCTCAGGCCTTCAAGTATTCCTACTTTTTTGTCTTTGCTCCTACTTTTCCTAATTTTTCCATGAATTTCCTACTTTTTCTTAGTTTTTTTCAAATTTTTTTGTCCCAAAACACCCTAAAAGGAATCTGAGTCATTCAATATTCTTGATGACGATGTTACACTCTGTCATATGTAAATCCCAAAGAGAAGGACTTGAGTGCAGGAGTAGTGAGTAGTCGCTTCAGATAATTAGGATGCAGCACAAGTGATGTGAGTAAAGAATATGTCATATGGGGCTTATGGTTCTGTTGATATTGGTAAGTATGAGTAAAAACTCCTGAAAGCCTGCATGAGTCCTACTTTTATCCTACTTTTTCTAGCAAAGTCCTACTTTTGTCCTGTTCTTATGCAAATTTGGATTCTACTTTTCTCTTAAATTTTTTCCCGGGTCTGCTTGAAAGCCTGGAAGCTATCGCCTCTTAATCGTATGCTTAACGTAATTATAATGCCAGCACAGGCAAGCATGTGCAGCTGTATAAAATGCTCACAGTTATTATTCATCAGTAGAGTGTTGCCGTAACAAAGCAGTAGTTTAGTTTGAACAGTTAATTCTGTATGTATTTTACCCTGCGCCTATTTCGGTAATGCAGAATTCGTCTACATAACAGGCATGAGACAGACAAATGCTGAAAAGGGAGGAACATTTTTTAAACTTTAGGGGGGGGTGAGTTTTGAAAATTATAAGCTCTGAGATGCAATCTAGAGCCATTTCAGGGTATTCCAATAGCTCACAACTAGCAACACTTTTTGATGGAAAAGGAAAATATGCATATAACATGGTTACTTACTGTAAAAATTAGTGTAGCGAAGTAGTAGTCGAGCAAGGACCAGTATGAGCAGGTGTTCGGTTTATTAGATTGGTCCCCGCCTACCTGTACAGTGCTCACTACATAAGATAAATGAACAGTGATACCAGTTGATTGCTGTACTTCGACGTACTCTGCTTTTATCAGTATGTTAGCAAGCATACATTAAGACAATGATACGAGTAGAAGCGCTCCGGATAGTTACCGAGTCACAGTGTGTTCACATGTACGCGATCGTCAGAGACCACAGAGGTATTCTTACCCCCCCCCCCAAAAAAAAAATCCTTGAATTTACACTGATCTCAGAAATTGTCTCTGTGGTTCTAAAATGGCCTGAAATCAGCCGAACGGCGGAAATGTCTCATGCCTGAAATAAGCTATCATGGAGTTGGAACGGTTAGTCGAGATAAGATATTAGAACGGTTAATAAGTAGTATTTGCAAGGTCTGCAGAAATGATTACGATTACAGAATTGCCAAAATTGCAAATATATACACTATTCCATAACTCTGGCACCGCTTGCAGCTGGAAGATCATATTGCTATAGTGCAAATTTGATTTGATTTTAGTGTTTAGAGATAGCAGAATTCATAATTCCCAGTCTTGATTAATGTCAAGGCGTCGCATATATCTGTGTTTCTGTATCGGTATATGAATTTGTCAAATGTTTCCATATGATGATACAATAAAAAATGCGACAAAATAAAATAAGTTCATATGCTCTTGTATACATTGAAGAAATGGTTTACTGATGTTGTTGCGAAGAGTTATGAGTTAATGTAGAGTTGTAGGTACTAATTTAATAGACGCGACGATAACGGTCAACGATAACGATTAACAATGCGAACCTAATATTATTACATCACATATTAGCACAAATTTTCAAATTACCACTGAGTTTTGACATGACAAAATTATATAGTATTAGCCAAAAGTATACATGAGAATACAACCAAAGTTCGAAATAACACGAATTGAGTAGATTATTATTTTATTATTAAATCTTTATTAAGATAAGAAACCTTAATCTGCCTTAAATGTTATCTAATCCATTACCTAAACGAAAACCTGTTATAATCTACCTTTGCTTTTTATACCCCAATATTGAGATAAAAACTCAAATTATACCTTAGGCTTCCGTTACCTCATTGCATTGGCAATTACTAACTCAAACTCGGTTTCGACATGGCGACTATTATTTTCGTTACGTCACAAAATAAAGCAAAGAAATAAACTTCACATAACAAACCAGACACCTAGCTCATTGCAGTCTGTTCAGATGTTTACTCTATACTACATAACGTGACTCAAGCTCGGATGAAGTAACCTAATGTAAAGTTAAAGAATTAATTCGTGTAACATTTTCGTCTCCAACGTGTATTGGAAACTAAGTAGTGAACGTGCATGGACACATGACTATGCACGCCATTCACATGACCACGTTATATTGCCACGTGACCACGTCAGTTATACACGAAAATGCTAGTTGGAAACGTGACTGCGTCACTTGCACGCGTGACCGTGTCAGTTGCACGCGTGACCTCGTCGGTTGGGCGCGTGACCGTGTCAGTTGCACGCGTGACCTCGTCACTTGCACGCGTGACCGTGTCGGTTGGACGCGTGACCTCGTCGGTTGGACGCGTGACCTCGTCGGTTGGACGCGTGACCTCGTCGGTTGGACGCATGACCTCGTCGGTTGCACGCGTGACCTCGTCGGTTGCACGCGTGACCTCGTCGGTTGGACGCATGACCTCGTCGGTTGCACGCGTGACCTCGTCGGTTGCACGCGTGACCTCGTCGGTTGGACGCATGACCTCGTCGGTTGGACGCGTGACCTCGTCGGTTGCACGCGTGACCTCGTCGGTTGGACGCATGACCTCGTCTGTTGCACGCGTGACCTCGTCGGTTGCACGCGTGACCTCGTCGGTTGGACGCATGACCTCGTCGGTTGGACGCGTGACCTCGTCGGTTGCACGCGTGACCTCGTCGGTTGGACGCATGAACTCGTCGGTTGCAAGCGTGACC